AGAAGGTTAGTAAAACAGAGTTACGTGTAGACACCATCACCACCAAGGCCTTGGAGGAGGAAGAAAGTAGGCCGAGGGCTGAGCCTGCCGAGGAGACTGAAGACCTGATACTCGATCCGGCCAAGCCGGAGAGAGTCCTGAAGATCGGAGCCAAGCTCCCCGAAGACATGAAGGCTGGCATCACCAGGGCCCTCCGCGCCTACTCCATTGTTTTTGCATGGGGGCCGGAGGACATGCCAGGAATTGACCGAAGGGTTATCACCCACCGCCTAGCGGTGGACCCTTCGGCCAAACCAGTACAGCAGCGAAGAAGACCCCTCTCGGCCGAGAGAAGGGAGTTCGTGAAGAAGGAGGTATCCATGCTCCTCTCCATCAAACACATCAAGGAGGTGAAATACCCTTCTTGGTTGGCAAACGTAGTCCTCGCACAAAAGCCTCCTACTTTCCGCATGTGCGTGGATTACACGGATCTGAATAAGGCATGCCCTATGGACCCCTTCCCTCTGCCAAACATTGATCAACTAGTGGATGAGACCGCGGGATGCGAGATCATGTCATTCCTCGACGCATTCCGCGGATATCATCAAATCTACATGCATGAGGAAGACGCTGAAAAAACTGCCTTCATGACACCCGAAGGCATCTTCTGCTACCTTGTGATGGCCTTCGGCCTCAAAAATTCAGGCGCCACCTACACACGCATGGTGGCTAGGGTCTTCCAAGCTGTCTTAGGACGCACTATGGAGGCTTACGTTGACGACATGATCGTCAAAAGCAAGAAGGCAGGCACCCACGCCGACGACCTCCGGGAGATTTTTGCCATCATGCAAAAATTCAACCTCCGGCTAAATCCAAAGAAATGCACCTTCGGCGTACAGGGAGGAAAGTTCTTAGGCTACATGGTCAGCCGAAGGGGTATTGAGGCCAACCCCGAGAAAATTCAGGCCATCATCAACATGGAGCCCCCACGCAACGTCAAAGAAGTCCAACGGTTGACGGGTCGCCTGGCAGCCCTCAACCGTTTCCTCTCAAAGTCAGCCGAGAGGGCTCTCCCCTTCTTCCAAATCATGAGGAAGACGGCGGGTTTTCAATGGACATCTGAATGTCAAGAGGCCTTCGATGAACTCAAGAAGTACCTCTCTTCCCCCCCAGTGCTCTCCAAACCTAAAGTGGGGGAAACTTTGTACTTATATCTCGGTGTTAGCCCCGCGACTATCAGCTCAGTGCTGATCCGAGAGGAAGACGGCATCCAACATGCCATCTTCTACGTCAGCAAAACCCTCTGGGAGGCCGAACTCAGGTATTCTCCCGTCGAGAAGACGGTGCTAGCCATCGTTTGGACCGTCAAGAAACTTGGCCACTACTTTCAAGCTCATCCAGTCCAGGTGCTCACTCATCAACCCCTCGGCCCCCTCATGAGGAGTCCCACTAGCTCCTCTCGGATGGTGAAATGGGCCATCTTCCTCAGCCAATACAATATAGACATCCGTCCAAGGCCTGCCATTAAGGGCCAAGCCCTGGCAGACTTCGTGACGGAATGCACCGCAAGATCAGCAACTGACGAGGAGCCCTCGGCACCCCTCGATGAATGGTGGACACTCTATACCGACGGCTCCTCGGCCACCAGAGCATGCGGAGGGGGAGTAGTCCTGATCACACCCGAAGGCTTCCGCGCCTATTATGCCATCCGTTTCTCCTTCAAAGTCTCCAACAACGAGGCCGAGTACGAAGCCCTCCTCTGTGGCCTTCGGCTGGCAGCTAATCTGAAGGCTAAGATGATCCACGTCAAGTGTGACTCCAAACTCGTCGTGGGTCAAATCTCCGGGGAGTACGAAGCCAAGGAAGGAAGGATGAAGCAATACAAGGAGGCTGCCAAGGAGTTGCTTAAGGTATTTGAGGCACATTCCCTCACCCAAATACCGAGGGCTCAAAACTCTGAGGCCGACATTCTGTCCAAGCTCTCGGATGAATCCCCCGAGCACCTCTCAACAATTGCAAGAATCGAGGAGCTCAGCCTCTCAAGCATCCACGCAAGCCCCATTATGAATATTAACCTAAGGCCGGAGGATTGGATCTCCGACATCATCACCTTCATCACCACAGGGCAATTGCCCCAAGACGAAGCCCGCGCCAAGTTAGCAAAACTGAGGGCTCCCAGCTACGCCATCGAAAACGGGAGGCTTTACAAGAGATCCTACAACGGCACCCTCCTTCGGTGCCTTCATCAAGATGAGGCCAAAATCGCCATGGAGGAAGTGCACAGTGGCACTTGCTCAGCTCACCAGGGACCCTTCTCCATGTCCCGACGGCTCATAGTTCAGGGCTACTTCTGGCCCACGATGGCTAGAGATTGTGCGGATCTGGCCCGAAGGTGCACCGCTTGCCAACACTTTCAGAAGGCCCCCGGCAGACCAGCAGTCAACTATGCTCCCATCAGCACCGCTATACCCTTCTCCAGATGGGGTATTGACCTAGTAGGCCCTCTGCCGAGGGGTACCTCCAACAATAGGTATATCATTGTGGCCATTGACTACTTCACCAAATGGGTAGAGGCCGAACCCCTCGCCAGCATCACGGAGGCCCGGTGCCGTCACTTCGTCCTCAAGAACATTCTCACAAGGTTTGGCGTCCCCCAACAAATTATCTCCGACAACGGGACTCAGTTCGAGGCAGCCCCCTTCTGTGCCCTCCTTGAGGCTTGGGGCATCAAGCACACATTCTCTTCCGTTGCCTACCCTCAGGGCAACGGACAAGTAGAAAATGCCAACCGCACCCTCCTCGAAGGGTTGAAGAAGAAGCTGGAAGCCGAAGGGGGAGGCTGGGTAGAAGAGCTTCATAACATCTTATGGGCCTATCGCACCACCCCTCGGCGTGCAACAGGCGAGACCCCTTTCTCCCTATGCTATGGATTTGAGGCTAAGGCTCCAACGGAAGTGACCCTCCCGACCCGAAGGGTTGAACAATATGAGCCCGAGGTCAACGACGCCAACATGGCCCTCGACCTTCATCTCATCTCGGAACGCCGAGAGCAAGCTTTCCTCAGGGCCGAAAACTATAGAAGACAAGTCAAAGGATACATCGACGCCAAGGTCCGCTCCCGGGAATTCCAGGTGGGAGACTACGTCCTCCGACGAAGGGAGGCCAGTTTACCCACCGAAGGAGGGAAGATGGCGCCCAAGTTTGAGGGCCCTTACATCATCTCGGCCATCATCAAACCAGGGACATACAAATTAAAACGTCCTAATGGGACAGAGATTCCTAGACATTGGAACGTGCACCACCTAGTCAAATTTTATCAATGAGTGGCCAAGCCCTCATCCTCAACAAGTGTAAATGTTCAATGGCCCAACGCCCCGTCTGTTTTTGAGGAATAATCAAAAGGCCAAGCCTTCATCACCTACATATTGTACAAACGGCCGAAGGCCCCCTTCTCTCCCACACATGAGTGGCCAAGCCCTCATTTCTCCACCAAGATAGGCCCAAGGCCTCTCCCTCCGATGAAGGAGGAACAACAATCTAGGTACCAAGTACCAAGTGTACGGGTCACCCCCATCACTTTTTGAAAACACCAAGTGTTTTCTCAATGAGCCGTACCCCACGAGGACGCAATCATGCATACATTATGCATACTATACATACTCTCTCCTCCTAAAAAAAAAAAAAAAAAAAAAAAAAAAAAAAAAAAACGGGGGGGTGCAACACCCCTCGGCTCCGGCTGGTACCAAGTGCCCCCGGCTATTTGTGTTCCACGCACAAATAAAACCCTTCCCAGGAACGCTTTCCGCGCCATCCCCCAAGGGGAGGCAGGCAACGGACCATGTCCCGGGCCCAGGATTCGACTTCCACAAACGAAACGCTCCCCGCGCTATCCCCCAAGGGGAAGCAGGCAACAGACCATGTCTCGGGCTGAGGGGACGACTTTCAAAATCGAGGCGCTTTCCGTGCTATCTCCCAAGGGGAAGCAGGCAACAGACGATGTCTCGGGCCGAGGAAACGACCCTCAAACCCTTCGGGATATCGGAAGGTCATTCCCGAAGGGGGAGCCAACGGTTTGTTCCGTTGCCTCCCATATAGGCCGAGTCTTTCCTAGAAACCAAGTTTCTGGACGCCTCCCCTACACCATCTAAAAAAAAAAAAAAAAAAAAAAAAAGATGTGTAGGGGGGAAGGAACTCCCCGGATACTATTCTCCCCGGAGGCTCAACAATTCGGATATACATTCCCGAAGGCTCCTACAAATTCACAAGAAAATCTCGCAAACAACAAGTCATCTGGCCACGAGGCCGAAGGCTTCACTGCGTAAAACTTTGGAGTACAAGAATTCCACCGAAGGCATAAGAAGAGGGCTTACTATCAAAGCTTCACTTAAATTTGGCTAAGTCCTAAATCTGGCTCGAATCAAAGACACCATGTTACATACCGAAGGCTACACAAAGTTCTAAGGCACGCTGAATCTATTGTCTACGCGAACCAGAGAATTCGTACCGAAGGCAGAATGTCACCGGTCTCGTACCCCTCGGCAACCCTATACACCGGGGGCTCAGGCAATCCTCACACTCGAGGGATTCACCACAGTATCTATTGAAACTTCGTGGAAAAATGACTAAGTCCACAAATGGGGACCCTTCGGGAGGGCAACTCTTCACCTACAGACTCATCACTACACTACTAAATGAAAGCTTCCAATTCATTCTATCCCTCGGCATCACTACTACGAACATCCGAAGGGGGTCGGTCCTACACTACGACCGGAGGCTCACGACAAAAGTTCTTACTTAGAAAATTTTCTAAGTCCACAACGGCAAGCCCCCCGATGGTCCTACGCTACGGCCGAGGGCTCATTCTACTCTACATCCGAAGGGTTCTGATCAAGTTGTACTTAGAAAATTCTCTAAGTCCACAAACTTGTGGCCTTCGGGAAGCCAGGCTAAAGAAGGAAAACATACAATCATCCAAGTAAAAGGCATACATTCATGAAGGAAAAGAGCGAAAGCATACATTCTAAATTCAAAATAAAGGAGGCATCCATATAAAAGAACCCGGGGGCATATCATCCATTCAACATGGAAAGTTGTCAAAGTACAAAAATGTGTTTCATTACAAGATATGGCCAAAGCCGGGACCTACGGACTATTACAAAATTTGAACTTGGAAGACTTCAAGGGTGAGCTTGTTGACCCACATCACCCTTCGTCTTGGAAGCGGCATCGTCCTCGACTTCCTCGCCACCAGCCTCTTGCATAAGCTCGGAATCTTCAAGATCCGGCCTCTCTTCACCTGGGGGGAGGGGCACCCTGACATCTGGCTGCAGAGGGGGAAGGCCGTAAGCTGCCGGGTCAAATTCCTTCGGCTCGATTTTGAAATGCCTGGCTAGCCTCCTGTATATGAGGTTTTGAGTGAAGAACTCCCCACCATCATAATAATCTTTGCCCTTCCGGGCTAGCCATTCAGCACCGGGGCCTCTCACCCAGGAGTCTACCTTCTGCTCCACCACGGAGGTCACCCACCCTTCGTGGTCCGCCGCCGCCCAGCCCTCGGCAAGGAAAGATTCGATTGCTTTCTTCCCAGCATCGGCCACCGCCTCGGCCTTTTCTATCTCGGCGGCCTCGGCAGCAGCCTTGGCAGCAACAGCGGCGGCTTCTTCAGCGGCAGTCTTCCCTTTAGCCTCGGCATCTTTTAGCCTCTGCTCCATGGCCTCCTTCTCCAGCCGAAGGCTAGCCTCCACGTCAGCAACCCTCTGCCTAAGGGTGACCTTCTCCTCATCAGCTTTCTTCAGGGCCTCGTCCGCCTGGCATTTGGCGATCCTCAGCTGTTCAACCCTTCGGGCCTGCTCGGAAGCAGCCAAGGCAGCCTGCACATTAACACACATGCACAAAATATGGCATCAGATTGGTTCACCGGGGGCTATCATCAGAAAGAAAGAATTGAAGGAGATAAAAAAAGGGAAGACAACTCACCATAGTGCTGTAGCTCGCGACTTTGTAATCGAGGATGTCGTCCCCGAGGCGGGCCAGCACTGACCTATCCTTCGGCGCCATGACCCCCCTCATGAAGCCGACAGGATGAAGGGTGCCATGCATGACTGAGGTCCCCGACTTGACAGGGAACTGGATGATCTCCGCCGGGCGGATTCCCTCGTCTATGGGGGATGGAGGAGATCGAGGAGGGGTAGTCGCGGAAGGATTCGAGGAAGGCTGCTCCTCAACTATCACTATGGGGGCATCCTTCCTCCCGGGGGCCCCCTTCTTCTGTTTCTTGTTCTCCGGGGGGGCGACACCCTTCCCGGAGTTCTTTCTCTTGAGCTCCTCCCCTTTGGAGCCCCCGGCACCAGCTCCGGTATCAACTGTTTTGGATGGTCCCTCCCCCTCCGGGACCCGAGATGCCCCATCCTTCTGGAAGAAATCATCGACGGGCTTCTGACCCCCCGCCTCCTTCCTCTTTTTTGGCTCTCTGGCCAACTTCTTCTTCAAAGCGGCGAAGTTAGAAACATCCATGCTAGCACCTGCAAAACAACAATGAGGTCAGACCGAGGGGTTCGACAACGGGGGGGGGGGGGGGGGGGGGGATAAAATAAGAGTACGCGAAATTCCTAAGTAAAATAAAGCAGACCCTCCGGTAACTACCTCCGGCGCTACCGAAAGCTCTTTCAAAAACAGGGTACTGTTCGTCTCTCTCGCCCAGAAATCGGTACCGTCGAAAGCCTAAGGCCAGCAAGTCCTCTGGAAGGGTGGAGTCCTTGACAGTCACATGTTTTGTGGCCCCCGGCAGCAAGGCGGCGATCTTCTTCCCATCCTTCTGAAGTGCGGCATTTCCCACCTTCGGGTGCCGCCTGAAGTGATTGCGCAGCTCCCTCGGGAATGGGTTTTCAGCCATCTTGATGTAGCAGAATCGGTCTTTCCATCCCTTGTGAGACGAGGGCACATCGTCGAAAAGCCTCCAGGGGGCGAGTTGCTGCAGGTTCGCAAAGCCCTCGGAATTGGTATGGCCCCCCCGGCACAGGTTGAAGCTTTGAAAAAATAAGTCCAGAGTGGCGGTTACCCCCCGGGACCGGCAGAGTTGCAGAAAGCCGGTAATGTATGAGTGGCTGTTTGGGGTGAGTTGACAGGGGGCTAAGCCCACAAACCTAAGGTATTCAATGAGAAACGGGTGCAACGGGAACCGGAGGCCCATTGAGACTGACAGTACATGTACGGCAAAGCATCCTTCGGGAGCCTGGGAGAGGAGGTCGTTAGGCCCCGGTTCAATCACGGTGGCCGAGGGGCCCACATGCAACTGGGTGACGTAACACTCGGCCCGGTCAGCCCTCGACTTCAGCGCCAGGGCGGCGGTGTTCAACCATGAGTGCCCCTCGGGTATGCCCACGGGTTTCCCACAATCCGCTGCGGGTTGCTTCTTCTTCTGAGGAGCCTTGGACTTCTTCTTTTTGCCGAGGGCTACACTCAGAGGCTCCGGGTCTAAAGGCCGGGAGGTACTCGTCTCCCCTGAACCTCGGAGGGGCAGGACAGCAACAGTCACCTCCTGCCGCTCCCTCTCCTCCTCTTCCTCTGCCACTTGGAGCGCGAGGGCCATTTCCTCGTCAGCAGCAACTTGTTCGAATTCTTCAGCCTCCAGCTCAACCCGAAGGTTACTCTGTACCTCCTCAGCCACGGCGAGGTCATTGTTGGCCGAGGACTGCTCGCTCGATGACTCCGAATCAGAAAAGCTCTCTACTACAGCTGAGGGCTCCCTCGAATGATTCTGGGAATCGCTTGCTGATGACATCCTTCGGAATCAAGAGAACGCAAGAATGGAAGGAAGAAAGGATACTAGGGGTTTCCCAGAAGGCTCTAACACTTAATCTAAAAACAATTGAGCAAAGTATGCTAGAAGAACCGAAGAACGGTGAAGAACTGACCTCGAAACTTGGGGTTTGATCGAACAGAACTTTCTCTCTCTAGAAAACAAAAGGGCAGAGCTTCGCTATCAAAAATCGCACAAGAGATGTGAACTCGGACTTGGGGTATTTATAGGCAACTGGGCCTCGAGAACTGGGCCTCGATTCGAAAAGCCATCATTAAGCACCGCCTCACCACCCAATGGGTGGTGACCGCCCCCCATCTGCCAACGACAAGGCGCCACGTGGAACCCTCTCCAACGGCTCTATTCCAACGGCTCTGTTTTGAAAACTTGAGGCGAGCTCATCTTTGCAGCCTCCGGCAAACACTCCCACAGCCTTCAGCCAATGCATTCCAACATGGCGCCTTCAGGCCTGCGGCGGCATAAGCACCTAGCTTCTCAATGATATCATCCCTCGGGTTTGCATCAACACATCATAACTCCTTCAGCCCGAACTCGCCTTCGGCCTAAAGGAGTGGGGGACTGGGGACCCCTCGGGGATCATACAGAACAAAATTTTCTTCATCTACGTACGACAGCACACCCTTCGGCAGTAACTTAAAATCAAAAGTGTTCCCACAAATCACTTGTGGCAATGAAGCAGCTTTCATCACGACACACACGGGCAATACATCTACACTTTCCTCGGTAAGACCCTCGACGTGTGAGGGACTGAGGAAAGCCTTCGGCAGTCATACGGGTAACATACTTCCCTCAGAAAACCCTCGACATGTGAGGGACTGAGGGAAGCCTTCGGCAATCAGCAGAAGACAAGTTCTCCAGCAAAGGCACCCAGCGAAATGATGAAGCCTCCAGAAGAAGCAACACATCTACTCCTTTTCCCTCAAGTACCTTTCGGCAAAAGGAGTGAGGGACTCCTGATGGAGTATATGGCCCAGGAACCCCCGGCCCATAGACTCCTACTTCTCCTACACAAGTCCATTGAGCCCAAGAAACAACTCAGGCCCAGATACAACGGCCCAAGCCTCAAAGTAGCCCAGAATACACACTGGGGTGCCTTCGGCCTCCTTGGCCGAAGGCTCCAGAACTCACAGGATAGCCTTTTTGACATAAGAAGCTGCTGGGAGAAAACGGACGAAAACGTGAGCCTTCGGCATTGTCATGCCCTCGGCATCAGAGAAGCCTTCGGCTGAACCAAGCCTTCGGTCACACAACGCCCTCGGCTGAACAAGGAGCCTTCGGCTGAACAAGCTCAATCATCGAAGATTCCTTTTAGAGACAGCCAACCACCGCATTTAATGCCACGTCGCATCCGCCAACCGCATTCAATGCGGTTGACGTACCACTGCCGGTGCCACCAGGCTGATGTGACCCTTCGGCCGTTGGATTACTGACACGTGTCCTCTCACCGCATTTATTGCTGCTATAAATAGCAGCCCATTTCTCCTTGTAAATGACAACCTACATCTCAACGCCACACGCTGAGTTCATTTAATAAAATCGACTCTCTCTCCTCCTATTTGCTCTGACTTCTCTCTAGGTTATTCCCGCAATAACCCCTCGGATAAGATACCCCCCGGGTAGATTGTCCATCACCCGGTGCCGGGACGAGGCTGGGCCCGGGTCAGGACTTATATTTTTTTTTTAAAATTTTAGTTTTTCTTATTTATTCCTCCCCTTCACCCCCAAAACCATCAAAACCCCATCCCGTAGCCCCCCCCCCAGTTTGGGCCCAAGGCCCGGTATCGGTCCTAGCCAGCCGGGTCGGTACTGGGCCTAGTCCCATCCCTACTCTCTAGCCTAGGGCGAATCTGGTAAGTTTATTACCATTGTAATTTTAGTCACTCACTCGAGAATTGGATAGGTCTCTTTTTAAAGCAGGTAAAGCCGTAAAGTGTTGTGCAAAGAATAACTGGTAAGATGAATCTCAAATATGGACACTAAATCTCAAACATTTTCGATGGGAATTTGGAATCACTGTTGGGAAAATATCAAATTCCCTGTGGAGATGGATAAACATAACCCTAGTCATGGACCCGGGCCGGGCCCGGCCGGGCTTTTTTTTTGGGAAGGAAGGCCCGGGTAGCCACCGGGTCCGGGCCGGGCCTCCGGTTCATTTTTTTTTTTTTTTTTTTTTTTTTTTTTTTGCTTTCCTAACCCCCCCCCTCACCCCCCACCCCCCAAACCCCTCCTAACCATCAAGCCCAACCCAGGTGGAACCCCAAAAAATGAAAAAAAAAAAATCAATTTGGCCCAGACCCGACCCGGCCGGGCCGGTTCGCCAAATACAAGGCCCGAGCCCGGACCCGCCCCCCACCGGGCCTAGGCCCGACCCGGACCCGAGAACCGGGCCGGTCCCGACGGCCCGAACCGGGTCCATGACTGCTTAACCCTTTTTACGGTTTTACCTTTAATATAAACAAAAATGATCTTTGTACCCACCCTTATACCCACTTTTGTACCCACCTATGTTTGTGAAGTGTTTTTTTTTTTGTCTGTGAACCCCGGCTCATAGACAATATTTTGCACAAACAAAATATTGTCTATGAACCGGGTTCACAGACAAAAAAACCCTCCACAAACATGGTGGGTATAAGGTGGGTATAAGAGTGTGTACATCAAGCATTGTTGTAATATAAATTGGTGGCACAGTGCAAATATACATTGAATCATTCACGATCTTCAACTTATAATGGATTGCAGATCATTTCGTGCTTCAGAAAAAATGGCAAGCGATCACATGATTCACAAGAGAGCTAGAGTGGAGGGGATCATCAAAGCTATGAATGGCAAAATGTTAACACTTCGCATCTCTAGGAGATAAGTCTTAGGAGACTATAGTCGATACAGTGATGTTAATAGTGGCGCTATCGCGCGCTATAGCGGAGGTGCAGAGCGGAGGACCAAGCTGGCGCTACCAGACGACATGTAGCGTCGCATTTGGGTGTTGCGGGCATAGCGGGCGCTTTTGCGTTGGTGCGGAGAAGGTAATGGCGGCCGCTATAGCAGTGAGTTTTTGGGGTGAATCAGATGGCGCATTTCCGCTAGGGTTTTTTTTGCGTTAATAGTTTTAACGCAGAGGTAGAAGGGGTAAATTAGACTTTCAAAACAAAATATTAACCGACTTAAACCCTTTTACACTTGCGTAAAAGCTCAAAACGGCTCTGCGATGAGTTCTTCTCCAAGAAAGCTCTGTCTATTTCTGCTCTGTTCTTCATCATCAACGACACATGTTGCCCTCCTCTTCATTCATCTCAGCAGTATCTGACTATCTTCTGCTGCAACATCTTCTTCTCCAACCTTTGCTGCAGACCTGCAGTGAGTCGTCTTTTCTTCTTCTCGTATGGAGTCTAGTTAGTCTACTGCAATGTTTAAGCCCACATGAGAACACCTTGACCCAGCTTGGAAGTGAAACAGTTTGACTGTTAATGTATCAATGTTTAAACTCTTAAACTAGAACCTTGTTTAATTCAATGTTTTGACTTAAGATGTTTTAATCATTAATAACATCTTTTGTTTTGCTCATGAAACTAAAGAGTATTTCAAAGTAATTTAGGATTTATAAATGTTAAGATGTTTGCAACCTTCATTGACATATATCATACTTTTTGAATTCAATACGTGTATGCAATGTATTATATATATGCTTCTAGTAGTTACTTATTTACGAGTATTATTTTTGAAAGTAGCCTAAATAGCGGTCATCCAGCTATCCGCTATACCGCTATAGCGTTTTTGGGGCTGGCCGCTCCGCTCCGCTATCTGGGATTGACAACACTGATTCTATATAGCTGAAAATAAATGTAATCGAGGTGCACCGTCGGAAATTATATATACAAGATTGTTTCAAACTAAATGTGGGTGTCAGATTATATAAACAATGAACCAATCTTAGGAGGTAGGTAAGCATGTTGCCAGCTTCTTTGACAGGCACAAACAACAAACTTTCGATTTCAAAGATGTTGCAATACAACAACATTCAAGCCTTAATCCCAAAAGAGTTTGGGATTAGCTAACATGAACCAACATATGAAATCAGAGCTACATTTGGAAGATGATGTAATATTAAAAGAAAATAAACAGAAGCCCTCAATATATAACAAGTTCACATTCGACAAAGCATCAATTTGTATCAACATTTGGGGGTGGATCAATGCAAGAATAATGAGGTTGGTGAAAATAGAACACTGGGTTTTCAGGTACCTAGTATATAAGTGTTTGCAAAAATGATGGTAGCTATTGTTTCCTTCCCCTCCCTCTCTTGGCAGGCTGATTCTCTTGCTGGTCCTTTCCACCTACATCTGATATATCCGCTGCAAAAGAAACAATGAGTGCATCGTTATGATAGCCAAAAGCACAAGAATGATATTCCATTCTTTTATTAGGCAGTAATTTGTATTGACTAATTTTTTTTATTAGCACTACAGTGTGCTATTCCGTCAGAAAATAACTACTTCGTACACCATTAGTTAAGTTATACACTCTCCAATTGTTATATTACATCATCAATCAACTATCTCATGATTCTTAAGTTATACAAAAACAATTATGTAGAACCATTTTGATTGAAAAAAGTGATTTTTTTTAACAAAACACTACTCCTCCAAATGGAATGAGAAATGTAGAGCTTGGAAGAAACCATAGCTCCTCCACTGTCTTACGATTTCCCACCTCCCCAACCAAACACACAACCACTTGCACACTTTCTCCCCTTCCCGTCTAAAGTCCTCCAACCAAACAAGGGCTAATAATAGATTTAATACCATCAGGTCCACGAGCCATTAGAGTGAATAGTATATTATTTAGCTTCTCCATTTTCTTCGCATCCTGAGCTTGGTCGGTCTTGAACTTTATACACTGCCAAGAAGAAATTCATTGACAGAAAAAAATAAATGAACCATCTAATCAATACTTGAATGTTCAATGACAAACATTTAACTAAGCTTGGATACATAAATTGCAATCATGCATATGAAACAAAAGGATATAATTTAGAACTTGCAAGTTAGAAGTACTTCATTTCAAATAAATTGATGTTGTTAATAAAGCTTTCACTTTTGCTGATAGCCTAATTTATTAGAGATCTAGAGTAATTCAATCAGTTTGAATTAGCACACAAGGAAAGTTTTTGAAATGAGACTCAAATTTGAAACAGAAATGAAGAAGCCAGACAAGTTAGAGTATAACAACTTGTCGCAAACATGGATACATGATTTGCAACAAGTTGATCAGTGATGGTAGTTTCTATGGGATCATTAGCTTCAAAGAATTCAGTATGGACATTTGTTAAAAAAAAAGAGATGAGGATAACGCAAAATCGAAAAAGAGAATAATACTCCCTCCGTCCCACAAAACTTTGCCAACTTTCCTTTTTTAGTCATCCCAAAAACTTTGTCATTTCCATGTCAAGCAATAAACATGAGGTTCAAATTATTTATCTCTCCTTTGTACAAATCTCTACCATATAGTTTTTACTTTATTATTCCACATGCAAGTCAACTTTTGCCAATTTGTGGGATGAAGGAGTAAACTTCGGGACAAATAACAAACATTAATGAATCATTAGCTTTATAACAAGCTGCTGTAAATATGTATACATGATTTGCGACAAGTTGATCAGTGATGGTAGTTTCTATGGAATCATTAGCTTCAAAGAATTCATTATGGACATTTGTTTAATAAAAAGTAAACAAGGATAACACAAAATAGAAGATATAATTAAGCCGCTCAAGTTTACAAGTATCTTTCTTAGTTTTTAATTTATAAGAAATCTTCATTATTTTTCAACAAAATATATACACAAGTCACAGATAAATGAAGATGAGTGCAAAGCAACAGTATTAACCAGGAAAATAAAAATGAAGGAAAGAACTGGGATGCTGGTAACAAACTATAAAAAAAATATATCGTAGATAACGTATTTCTTGGCTTAAAGGGTCACTCGTTTTGCCTCAGATAGTCCCACATAAAACGGGAGCAATGAACCAAGTAGACATCCAGCAACTGAATATGTTTTAACTTGCAAGGGGTAGATTTGAGAGGTGATTACCCATTGTCGTGGTATTTGTGCAGTGGTTTTAACTGTAAATCTACAGTGCTCCAAGACCAGGTAATTAGGAGTTATATTCCTACCTAGTGCTACACATAGTCTTACATCCAACTAGGCGAAGGTTATACACTAAAGTAAGTAGGATCTGGCCTAATGAATTCAATCAACAACTTTTATCATCAATTATATAATACTCTCAAGAAAATCCCAATGACTCTAACATTTGCAGCAAGTTTATACATTTTTGCTAGTAACCATCGTATTGCTCTAGTTAATTATTAGTTTTATGTTGTCAGTTAATTTTACCGTTCAAGTTAGGCACATTTTTAACAGCTACATTCAACATTAATACTGACAAGGAAAATCAATCAGCACAAATAGCTGAATGAATATACTATGTATCACATGCATTCCAGATCACCAAATTATGGCAAACACATTACACACTTGACAAACTATGTAAGACACCCAAAAAAGTAAAGAAAATAACCTCTTTATTGTCAGTCACTTTGAGAACCAATTTACCATCAGAATGCCGGTATTTCATAACATACCGCGTCTGCATCATATTGAAGTGTGACGGATTCTTAGTGCATATGCAACAAAATGTTTCCAATCAAGAGTGACACAGAAAAAGCAGCTGGACATTTAAGGAAAAAGAAATACCTGTTCAGGATCAACCCGAAATAGCTGAATAGATTTCTCGGCGAACTCATCCCAAGAAGTGATGTAAACCATATTGCAGATTCCGATCTGCAAGATTGTGCTATCAGTGGATAAGCAATATAAGGAATCCCTAGATTCTGTCGCCTACCCCTTAGTTTTAAAAGGGGCGTTTTTATTCATTTTAGTCGAGGCGCGAGGCCAGTTTTTTCTCTTTATCAGGATTTTTACAAGTTTAGCCACAAAATGAACACATTTGTAATGAGCAATATACGGAGTATGAAACAAACAAAGGACTGCAACTTGCAAGAAGAAGAGCGAGTTTTGAGCATAAAGTTTAACTAGCTTAATCTAGGTTTACCTGGATGGCTAGTAGACGGAATATTTAGTCGGAGATACGGAGTGCGAGAATACGACGTGCGGGTGCGTTGATGCAGTTAGGGGCAGCCGTGAGGCAGACGGTCACAGCTGTGCAGTTGTTGCTCGTTGAATCGTCGGTCGTCTCCGTGGCTGACCGCGGAAGAGGAGCACAACCCGCTGCATCACTGATGATGTTTGGGCGGATTTTTTATTTGGGCCTTTTTACCCGGCCCGTTGCACAAGTTTTTGCATTTTTTTTAAAAAGAGCCTCTATTTTACTTTTTTTAGCAAGACGGCTTAAATCGATAAGAAAACATTCAGCAAGGAACAAAAGAGATATTTTCAGCCACCGACTCTCGAACCAGCCTGAGAACCAATCACCCCGGACAGAGCAATATGATTCGCTGATCTTGTACTAGGTCTAAATGAGCCTAACGTGGCTAGAGCAAAACCCTCGTCACCCACACCTAATGTAAGTGTCTGGTAAAAATAAGCGTACAAGACAAACAAAACAACATGTAGTTCGAAGTAAAAACACAAACAAACTAAAACAGATATAGAAATAATTTCCCACTTTTGTCACACCGAAAAAAAAGACCCCCAACTGATTAAAAAGATTGCTTTGGTTCATGACCAAATTTTGTCACATTTTGACAACACTGATGAGGCTATTAATCATCTGACTAGCTTCCAAACTAAAGGCAAGCTCTCATCTACCAAGGTGTATGATCTTCTCACAATTAGGGGTGAACCCCATAGGTGGATGTCCCCCCTAAATTCTGTTTCACACTTTGGTTAGCTTTTCATAACCGTCTTGCTACTTGTGATAATTTGTATAGATTAGATGTTGTTAATGTTTGCCCCTTTTGTAAGGGTGGTCCGGAAACAGTACCACACCTATTTTTTCATTGCCCCTTTTCAGGTAATATTTGGCATAGGGTGAAGACTTGCCTTGACATCCCAAGAGAGATGAGAACCATGCATAGCTCGTTGAAATGGATCAAGAGAAAGAGACAAGGATCGGGCATGAAGGCTAAGGCGGCTAGGATTGCTTTTTGCTACTCTATCTATTGGATATGGAGAACCCGGAATGCTACACTTTTTGATGGTTTGATCCCTAAGGAGGATGATGTTTTTGCTAGGGTCCAATATATTGTGTATAAGATCTTCTATAGCTTTTATCCTAATGATCTTATAGGGATCTGATACTTTTTTTGTTCTCGGCCAGCACCCTTTTTTTGTGCTTGGTCGTGAGCTTCTGTTTTGCTCTCTTGTTTGTTGATTTTGGGCTATCCTTGTCGGATACACTTCTTTTTTGTTTTTTTCCTTTTTGTCTGTACATTCTGAACTCTTGTCTCTTGGATGTTCTTTATAATATACTTACATTTCATTAAAAAAAAATCCAAACCATAGTCACGCAATTCCTCCATGGCGGCGGTTCGGGAGGGGGGGGGGGGGGTCGGATCAACATCTTTTCGTCTTCTTTCGCCCGTAGGAGGTCACCGCTAGCAGCCCTGACTTCTTCCGATCCAGAACCTCTCCCCCATGGCTGGTGCATGTTTGGATCTACCTCATCCCCATCCTGCCACGATCCGTCTGCCCTGACCTTGTTCTCAATCTCAGCCATATAGGCGCGGCGGAGCAAGAGATTCCGCTGCCATCGGACAAAAATTGCTTCATCAAGGCCTCTCCCAAAGTGACGGCATGCTCTTGCTAACCAATACCTATGTTCTCTCAAAGACCCCAACACAATCTTCTGGATTTGAAAATTGCTGCTACGCACAAAGGCGGAGAAAAATAAAACTCGCATGGAGCAAGAAACCCTAGCAGACCGCAACTCGATATGGGATTAGAGCCTCTATTTTACTTGAAAAACAAACTTAGGAAGTTTTTGCAAATGCTTTTGCTTTAAAAAAAACTTTTTGAAGTGATATGGATAAAGTGATTAATAGTAAAAGTTGATAGTGTTTGAGAAAAAAGTGATTTTGAAAAGTAAAAGTTGGTAGCGTTTGGCAAAATATGTGCTCTTTGTGTAATAGAAAAAGTAAAAAAATATTTTTCAACCAAAAGCCAAGAAGTGAATTTTTTAAGTAGAAATTGTCACTAGATTCATTTTTCTTCTCCTTCACATCGTATTTGTACGGTTTTAGGGGATTCACCTACGGCCGACTGCCAATGATCTGTTTCTTCTCGATCTGTTAAAAGATTCTGGTTTCATGCGCACGGCATTGCCAAACCTCATCTCTCTAGGGTGGACTTCCATCGCTAGGGTTCTCTTCTCCGCTATCGATTCTTTCGAGGAGCGGCTGTCTTCCCTACACTTGTTAGGGGTTTTTGTTCTGCTGATCGAGCTTCGTTCGTGCGGCTGGGTTTTTAGTAGATCGAGAATTTCGTGTAGCTTTCCTCTTTGGAGTTTCGGAACGTGTGTGGAACGCAAGGTCGGTGGGGTGCGGCTTGGATTTTTGTGGGCGAAGAATACCAAAGCAACATAATAGAATTTTCTTCTGCATCTCGGACATGGATGTCAGTGGCAAATCTCAAGGAGCAAATTGGCGAGCGCAAGAAGAATAGAGTTTCAAACGATTTTTTCGGGGGTTGAAATTCTCTACTACCATACTACAACAACTCGCCCTCCTCCGGAATCACCTCCGTGTGAGGAAGCAATTTGGGGAAAGTTTTTATTTTCGTATTATTTTTCCTTTCGTAGTACTTATTTTTATTTTAGTTTGAGCAAATGTGGTTGGAGTATTTTGATTTTTTGAAGAACTTTTGATAGACATTATTTCATTTTCGACCGTTTTAGGCTTCTTCTTACCCGTTTTGTGTCTAGCGAGTAAGGTTGCTTTGTATGAGTGACTGCCTCTAAGTCTATTCTTAGGGCTTACGATCAGATCTGTTATAGTTGTCTGGATTTTGTCTTGCGTGTTTGCTCTACATTTATGAAAAGCCGTATTGATGATAAAAAAAAGTAGAAGTTGGCACATGAAAACACTAATTTTAGTTTTTTTAAAGCTAAAGGCTGAGAAACGCTCTTTTTTAAGTGTTTGAAGCAGACTCTTAATCATTTCATTACTCAATTAAGTTATTAGCCTTATGCCAAACACCTTGTGGTTCGATGACATCATCGTGATACTCCAAGGAGAAGGTCACATGTTCAAAACTCATCGCAATCAAGGATGTTGACCTTTAACAGAACAGATATTATAAGAAAAGAGAAAGTGCAGCAAAAAAAGTTATTAGCCATATGGCTTACAATACATTCACAAGGAGAGTTAATAATTCTCTACAATCTAACATGGAAATAACCACTATTAAAAAATGGCTTATAGTGACATTAAATTAGTGTCATTAAACGATTTAATGACACACTGAAAGTGTCACAGAAAAGCGGGGCAAGTGACATTAAATTTAGTGTCACTGATTGCTAAACAGATTAGTGTCACAAAATTATGACGATAAAATATCGCATAAAATTATGATGTTATAATATCATAACTTTTTTTGACACTCTGGTATCATAAAGATATATGATACATTAGTATCATAACTAAACATTGATTTCAATACACACACATACATGTAATATAATTAATACTAATAAATAACCAAAATTCAAAGATTTTTGTTTATATCTCAATTTCTCACATAAATGTGAATGTACATACTACATAATTCATGGGGGCACACCCCGAAACAACAACTAATATACAAGAACAAAACGCTAACAAGTCTAACTTTTACACCACACTTCCCAGACCCTTCACATATCTTCTTTTGCAGACTTGCACATAATGAAACCAGTTCTTATGCTACCAACTTCATCGTTTGAAACCTCACTTGCTTCTATCATACTTCACTTGCAAAGTGGACATTACACAGCAAACACACACTAGTTCAACTTAGTACATCTTTCCTATAAATAAGCAAAATTTCAACTCTAAACTACAAAATTAAACAACTAAGCAAAGAACGGAATAACAAACCACACCGGGCTGCTCCCAAAATTCTAAACAAGAAAATAAACAAAATTTACAAAAACATGTGTAACACAATTCCCAAATCGTGAAACAAATTGATTGAAGAGTTTACTCGTAAACAATCATTTGTCTAATATCATCAATAAGGAATCAAAGTATGAAGAACTCGTTTCCATAGGGGTGGAAACAGGTCAGGTCAGACTAGGCTTTTGCCTAAACAGGCCGGGCCTGTTTTAAAATATATAGGCCTGAGCCTGGCCTGTTACCTGTTAAAGGCCTGTTTTTTCGGCCTGAGCCTGACCTGTTTAAAAGCCTGGCCTGAAGCCTGTTTACCGGGCCTGTTAAGAAAAAAATCAAAATTTCAAAAAAAAAAAATGAAAAGTGAAAAACCTTTTAATCTGGTATAAAATTTATTGCCCCAAATATTTACTAAAAAGTCTAATAATACGTTAGTTTTGCTTTGGATGTCTAATAATACATTATTATGGAGTATTATTATGTACGGAGTAGTTTATAAATTTCTATATACTTTGAAACTTGAAAAACTTTGAAGTTCAACTACCTTAATAAACTATTAACACACTTTATGTATATTTAAAATTAAAATAGTATTCTATTCTAATTTATAATACACACTCCCTAAAAATGCTATTATACTGATTTTGCTATAGTTGAGTATACTAATATAAATATAAATAATACAAATAAATATAAATATAACTAAATATACATACATACTGTTGGGATATATTATCCCGGCCTATTACTGTTCAGGAGCCCAAGACATTATCCAGTACGGAGCCCGAGCAGCTAGGCCCATTTCGGCCCATCCGGCCCACTTTGACCACCAGGCCCACTTCGGCCCATGCGGCCCATTAGGGTGGAGAGCCTCCCCTTCCCCTCCCCTATAAATACGGAGCTTAGCCTCCATGTAAAGGATCCCTTTCCTTCTTCCCCAACTCATTTACTTTCTCTAGAATAGCTTGCAAGACTCCATTAATGGGAGCTCAAATTGTATTATGTAATGGTGAGGAGAGTCCTAATGAGAATTGAGAGGGCTTGGACATTAGCCTAAAAAGTCCCGTGGTTTTCTCCCTTTCGGGTTTCCACGTAAAAACTGAGTTCTTCATACACATTTATACATATATATTTACTATATCGTGTTGGATTAAACTCAACACTGGCGCCGTCTGTGGGAATCAGTCCAAAAAGATTCACGTTGTTCTTCAGCTTCGACAACAAACGTGAGATGAAGAACTGATTTTCAACAAAAAGAAAAAAGAAAATTGATACCCGATGGACTGGTTTTAGCAAAAGGAAGAAGAAGGAAAAAACAAATGGTTCTGGGAAGTCCAAATTCGGATTTTTTCCGGATCTATTTTGTGAAGTCATCGGAGCCGCCCCCGCCGGCATGGAACCCCTGAGGCGTCCTGCGGCACCGGATGGAACTCACTGCAGCGTTACAGTCTTGGCGTCCCGATCTGTAGAAAAACTCCGCCTGAAACACAGTAGTTCGTCGTCAACAGCGGGGTCTGCCGCCCGAGCTGCCGCGCCGCCGCTCGACATCAGCCGTCAGACGCAGGTTGCTCGTCCACCTTCTCGGAGGAGGTATAGTCCGAGGCTCAGTAGATCTCCTGACGAAACCGCGTCCTCTGGCCGGCCTTGTTCTGCCGCGACCACCGTCTCCACTGGCGGAAGGTGGTCGGCATGTGCGGCCTGCCTCTGAGTTAATAGGAGGGTGTTCCATCTGCCTTTCCTAAGAGATGTACTCCGCATAAAAGTTTTGGTCAAGAGCAGACCACGTCTGCAATTTGAGGCCAGGCAAAGAGGGCCATTTTCCTTGGAATAATTTTACCAAGTCAAGTTGGGGAATTCCATTAAGCCGAGGACCTTGGTTTGAACGTACGTATACTTTGGACTTTGGAGTGGCTGAATAATTGAAGTCTTTGGCTCTTTAGCAAGGTTGACCAGGTCAAACAAAAAGGAATTCAATCAACTCCATGATTCTCACTTGGCCGAGCATCGTGCCAAAAAAGAGCTAAGTACCACTTACTCATCCTTTTACCAATTAAAGTGCGTGATTGTTTGTAGAGCATGCTTCATACTTATTAACGAAGTAGAAATATTGCTAGTATTTTTATCACCATTATTTATTAGGGAATAAGATCTCCCAAAATTAAATAATGTCGGGTGATGCTTTTGTGATAATTATTTTTCACCGCCATTTAAATTTAATGACTGGTTGTTGTGGGCCCGCCGGCCCGCTCCTGATCGACTTTTATTAGCGAACGGAGCATACCTGATTGGCCTTTGATAGGAAAATATCACTGCTATTACCTGTTACACCACTATTATTTATTGAGGGGTAAAAATGTCCCGAATTAAAGAATGTGGAGCGAAGCCCTAGTGATGGTTGGTTCAGCCAACATTTTGTTGAATATTTAATTTCTTGTGGGCCTATCGGCCCACTCTTGATCAGCTTGATTAAGTGATCCGAGCGTCTCCAGAAGGGCGGTGCCCCGACGACGCATTTTAATTTGAGGGTTACGCAATAGTCCGCACGGCACTACGTGCCCGATCGACGATCATACCCCATTATCATTTACGCCATTAAGCGAAATGACTATTGCCAAACGTGGCATGTGGGGCCCGAAGGCACCAAAGCACCCAACCTCCTTTTTCTGAGGACAGTGCGACCAACTTGGGTCTGAGTTTGAAAACTCACGGACCGATGAATATCTCTATGTGACGTTCGGCGGGCTGCCAGTTGGCCCCGCCGCGAGCTGCTACATCCATTAGTCCCGCACGATGAGCCGGGCCGAGGGTCGCGATGACCCATAGGCCGGTATTCGTGGATGTTAAAGAGGAAGCCATGCAGATGGTTATGTGTGCATATTTATTGTTGGGCCATGTGGCCGTTACCATGCTTATTGCGCAGCTGAAATCACTCAACGCGCTCGAGTGAAATGATTAAAAGACGCTCGGCCCGAGTCTTGAAGACGTTCAGGGCCAGCTAAAGAGGAGACCACCACGGCGGAGGACCGTGAGACGAGCATCTCCACCCCAGAGACCGATGGCCTAGGAGAGAACACCTAGAGGCCGAGGGTCTATAGTGGACTACCACGGCGGAGGACCGTGAGACGATCATCCATCATTCAGAGGCCGAGGGCCTAGAGGAGACCATCACGGCCAAGGGCCGTGAGACCATCCTGATTTTCAGGTCGGCCTCTCATCGCCGACATTATCATACCACGACCGGCCCCTCGGCTCGGCGTGTTCATCTTTTGAAGACCGGCCTCGTCCCCGCGCTGCGCGGATGAGGACCGTTGCTTGGTTCTTTCATGTCGGCCTCTCATTGCCGACACCGTCGTACCACGACCGGCCTCTCGGCTTGGCGTGCCTATCTTTTGAAGACCGGCCTCGTCCCCGCACTGCGCCGATGAGAGCCGTTGCTGGATTGCAGGTCGACCCTCATTGCCGACACTGCCTCATCATGTTCGGCCTCTCATCGCCGACATCATTATATCACAACCGGCCTCTCGGACCGGCGTGATTACCATATTCGAAGACCGGCCTCGTCCCCGCCACCTCGCGGACAAGGACCGTTGCTTGACCATATCTTGATCGGCATCTCATTGCCGACATTATCATACCACGACCGGCCCCTCGGCTCGGCGTGTTCATATTTGAAGACCGGCCTCGTCCCCGCACTGCGCGGATGAGGACCGTTGCTTGTTTTCTCAGATCGGCCTCTCATTGCCGATATCGTCATATCACGACCGGCCTCTCGGCAGGGCGTGATTATCATATTTGAAGACCGGCCTCGTCCCCGCCCTCGCGGACGAGAACCGTGCCTGTTTTTCTCAGATCGGCCGCTCATTGCCGACACCATTATACCACGACCGGCCTCTCGGCTCGGCGTGCTTATCTTTTGAAGACCGGCCTCGTCCCCGCCCTCGCGGACGAGGGCCGTTGCTTGATTTTCTCAGATCGGCCGCTCATTGCCGACACCATTATACCACGACCGGCCTCTCGGCTCGGCGTGCTTATCTCTTGAAGACCGGCCTCGTCCCCGCCACCCCCGCGGACGAGGACCGTTGTTTGATTCTTTCGGGTCGGCCTCTCACTGCCGACACCATCATGTTATGTTCGGCCTCTCGGCACGACATATTTATCTTTTGAAGACCGGTTTCATCCCCGCGCTGCGTTGGATGAGAGCCGTTGCTCGGATATATCGGCCTGACTGGACACTATTGCCATCTCCGTTATCAGGACCGACTGCTCAGCAATATTATGATCATTGTATATCGGCTCCCAATGCCGACCTTCTTGAGTAAGCGATCGGGCTCACCCCTCCCCTCCAGGAGGGTGACCATCGCCTTCGCATGACGACCATCTATTCCGTCGCCTCGTCATTTTATTCGTTTTGGTATGCCACCACCATTATGTGTGACATCCCGTGATCCCTGCGAGTTTCTTGGATACCGAATGTCTTCTTCGATGTAGGAAGATCGGTAGGACCACGGACCAGGGACGGACGAACGAAGCACCAGGGAATCTCGATGCAGATAAACCTGTTCCTCCTTGCGATGTCTGCGGATACCGAATGTCTTCTTCGATGTAGGAAGATCGGTAGGACCACGGACCAGGGACGGACGAACGAAGCACCAGGGAATCTCGATGCAGATAAACCTGTTCCTCCTTGCGATGTCTGCGGATACCGAACGTCTCCTCGAAGTAAGGACGCCGATAGGACCAAGGACCAGGGACGAACGAAGCACCAGGGAATCTCGATGCAGATAAACCTGTTCCTCATTGAGATGTCCGCGGATACCGAACGTCTCCTCGAAGTAGGAACGCCGGTAGGACCAAGGACCAATGACGAACGAAGAGTATAGATTGCCTCCCTCAAAAAAAAAAAAAAAAAAAAAAAGATGGGGAGAAGAGGAGGGTAGCTCCTATGTGGAAGGGAATCTTGCCCGGGTGTGCCAGATCTTCTCCCACCGCCGAAGACGAACGCCTCTCGATGTAGAGGTTAGTAGAGACGCGGAGGGGGCTAGACGAACCAAGGGAGCCTTGCCAAGATAAACCTGTTCATCCCACAATGACCATGGATCGATGGACGTGGGATAACATAGACGGGAACCCGTGAGGGTAAACCAGTTCGTCCCTGCGAGTTCCTTGGGTACCGAACGTCTTCTTCGATGCAAGAGACGCCGGTAAGACTAAAAGGACCAGGGACGAACGAAAAAGGGGGAATCTCGATGTAGATATACCTGTTCCTCATTGCGATGTCCGCGGATACCGAACGTATCTTCGATGTAAGAACGCCGGTAGGACCAAGGACCAATGACGAACGAAGACTAAAAGACTCCAAAAAAAAAAAAAAAAAAAAAGATGCCAGAAGAGCACGGAGCAAAGAATGATTTTATCCCTTGGCACTATTGGTTGTGAAGTACAAACTGAAAAACATATGTAAAGAATAATTACAAGACTTAAGTACGAAGAATGAAGTGGCCGACGACGATCGGCTAACATCAGGTTTTCTTTTGCCTCGAACGACTATTAGCTCCCCAGATCAGGTAGAAGGGACATCGCCCAGATTTATTTCAGGCTCACCATTCCTTCCCGGATGGAGCCCTGGCAGACGATCGACTTCTCACAGCCAATCAAGAGAGAGACTTGACACATCACCAGCACGGCCGAGGGCCGTGAGACGATTACCACTCACCGACAGGCCGAGGGCCATGAGATGATCATCACTATTTTTCCGTATCACGATCGGCCCCTCAGCGCCATCGTGTCCAGACTCACGGTTCGTCTTGCCCATTCCCTCCAGGATGGCGACGACCGTCTTATGCAGTGCGATCGGCCCCTCAGCGCCATCGTACCTGGCTTCACGGTTCGGATCGCCCCATTCCCTCCAGGATGGCGACGACCGTCTTATGTAGCACGATCGGCTTCTCAGCGCCATCGTGTCTCTTTCACGTTCGGATCGCGCATCTCTTCCAGGATGGCGACGAACGTCTTATGCGGTACGATCGGCCCCTCAGCGCCATCGTACCTAGATTCACGGTTCGGCTCGCCCATTCCCTCCAGGATGGCGACGACCGTCTTATGCAGCACGATCGGCTTCTCAGCGCCATCGTGTCTCGTTCACGTTCGGATCGCCCCATTCCCTTCCAGGATGGCGACGAACGTCTTATGCAGTGCGATCGGCCCCTCAGCGCCATCGTACTTGGCTTCACGGTTCGGCTCGCCCATTCCCTCCAGGATGGCGACGACCGTCTTATGCAGCACGATCGGCTTCTCAGCGCCATCGTGTCTCTTTCACGTTCGGATCGCGCATCTCTTCCAGGATGGCAACGAACGTCTTATGCGGTACGATCGGCCCCTCAGCGCCATCGTACCTAGATTCACGGTTCGGCTCGCCCATTCCCTCCAGGATGGCGACGACCGTCTTATGCAGCACGATCGGCTTCTCAGTGCCATCGTGTCTCGTTCACGTTCGGATCGCCCCATTCCCTTCCAGGATGGCGACGAACGTCTTATGCAGTGCGATCGGCCCCTCAGCGCCATCGTACTTGGCTTCACGGTTCGGCTCGCCCATTCCCTCCAGGATGGCGACGACCGTCTTATGCAGCACGATCGGCTTCTCAGCGCCATCGTGTCTCTTTCACGTTCGGATCGCGCATCTCTTCCAGGATGGCGACGAACGTCTTATGCGGTACGATCGGCCCCTCAGCGCCATCGTACCTAGATTCACGGTTCGGCTCGCCCATTCCCTCAAGGATGGCGACGACCGTCTTATGCAGCACGATCGGCTTCTCAGCGCCATCGTGTCTCGTTCACGTTCGGATCGCCCCATTCCCTTCCAGGATGGCGACGAACGTCTTATGCAGTGCGATCGGCCCCTCAGCGCCATCGTACTTGGCTTCACGGTTCGGCTCGCCCATTCCCTCCAGGATGGCGACGACCGTCTTATGCAGCACGATCGGCTTCTCAGCGCCATCGTGTCTCTTTCACGTTCGGATCGCGCATCTCTTCCAGGATGGCGACGAACGTCTTATGCAGTGCGATCGGCCCCTCAGCGCCATCGTACCTAGATTAACGGTTCGGCTCGCCCATTCCCTCCAGGATGGCGACGACCGTCTTATGCAGCACGATCGGCTTCTCAGCGCCATCGTGTCTCGTTCACGTTCGGATCGCCCCATTCCCTTCCAGGATGGCGACGAACGTCTTATGCAGTGCGATCGGCCCCTCAGCGCCATCGTACTTGGCTTCACGGTTCGGCTCGCCCATTCCCTCCAGGATGGCGACGACCGTCTTATGCAGCACGATCGGCTTCTCAGCGCCATCGTGTCTCTTTCACGTTCGGATCGCGCATCTCTTCCAGGATGGTGACAAACGTCTTATGCGGTACGATCGGCCCCTCAGCGCCATCGTACCTAGATTCACGGTTCGGCTCGCCCATTCCCTCCAGGGTGGCGACGACCGTCTTATGCAGCACGATCGGCTTCTCAGCGCCATCGTGTCTCTTTCACGTTCGGATCGCGCATCTCTTCCAGGATGGCGACAAACGTCTTATGCGGTACGATCGGCCCCTCAGCGCCATCGTACCTAGATTCACGGTTCGGCTCGCCCATTCCCTCCAGGGTGGCGACGACCGTCTTATGCAGCACGATCGGCTTCTCAGTGCCATCGTGTCTCGTTCACGTTCGGATCGCCCCATTCCCTTCCAGGATGGCGACGAACGTCTTATGCAGTGCGATCGGCCCCTCAGCGCCATCGTACTTGGCCTCACGGTTCGGCTCGCCCATTCCCTCCAGGATGGCGACGACCGTCTTATGCAGCACGATCAGTGCCCCAGCGCCATCGTGTCTGGCTCACGTTAGGATCGCCCATCCCTTTCAGGATGGCGACAAACGTCTCTTATGCAGCACGATCAGTGCCCCAGCGCCATCGTGTCTGGCTCACGTTAGGGTCGCCCATCCCTTTCAGGATGGCGACGAACGTCTCTTATGCAGCACGATCAGCGCCCCAGCGCCATCGTGTCTGGCTCACGTTAGGGTCGCCCATCCCTTTCAGGATGGCGACGAACGTCTCTTATGCAGCACGATCAGCGCCCCAGCGCCATCGTGTCTGGCTCACGTTAGGGTCGCCCATCCCTTTCAGGATGGCGACGAACGTCTCTTATGCAGCACGATCAGCGCCCCAGCGCCATCGTGTCTGGCTCACGTTAGGGTCGCCCATCCCTTCCAGGATGGCGACGAACGTCTCTTATGCAGCACGTCTGCCTCTCGGCGCTGACATGCCCGGTTTATCGATGAGAGTCACCACTTTCTATCACATCTCACATTCCTTCTCTCATACATTGCACCCATACATTACATGCATTCATGCATTCATGCATCATACCTCATACATTCATACATACACACGTGCATCGTGTTTTGACAGTACCGCGACGTCGGTTTATAGATACATGGACCTCTAAGCTTCTCCGATTGGAAAGCTCGAGTCAGAGTCCTTTACTCCCGCCTGATGCATTCAGGGGGAGTGTGCCCGTGGAGGAGCACCCTTCGCCCGACCCCGTCGGGAAGGGGGGTGCCTCACCGGCAGATTACGTTCAGGAGTGCAGACACCCACTCGTATATTATGATTATTCGAAGACGCAGTTTCCAGCAAGACAGAGGAAGAGCGCAGGCAAGAGTATACTTTCTCGAGCAGATTCGCACGCTCACTACTCAAGAAACTGGGGGACTTGTGTTGGGATATATTATCCCGGCCTATTACTGTTCAGGAGCCCAAGACATTATCCAGTACGGAGCCCGAGCAGCTAGGCCCATTTCGGCCCATCCGGCCCACTTTGACCACCAGGCCCACTTCGGCCCATGCGGCCCATTAGGGTGGAGAGCCTCCCCTTCCCCTCCCCTATAAATACGGAGCTTAGCCTCCATGTAAAGGATCCCTTTCCTTCTTCCCCAACTCATTTACTTTCTCTAGAATAGCTTGCAAGACTCCATTAATGGGAGCTCAAATTGTATTATGTAATGGTGAGGAGAGTCCTAATGAGAATTGAGAGGGCTTGGACATTAGCCTAAAAAGTCCCGTGGTTTTCTCCCTTTCGGGTTTCCACGTAAAAACTGAGTTGTTCATACACATTTATACATATATATTTACTATATCGTGTTGGATTAAACTCAACACATACATACATACATACATACATACATACATACATACATACATACATACATACATACATACATACATACATACATACATACATACCAGGGGCGGATCCAGGAATGAGGAGTGGGGTGGGCTAAACAGTAAAATTTTTTGTTATTGCATACAAAAGGTTTAGCTTAGGACTAATAGTTATTGAACTGAGTTTTTGTTCGAACTACTCGAGTTCGATCGTAATTTCGAATTTAATTTAATGACCAAAGCTTAACGAGCTTTAATCTCGAACACGGGCTAAATTTTAGTTTAAATAGTTTGTTTTTACAAAAAAAAACGGCCGTTATTTTTTTGAGTTTGAATAGTTATTCAAGCTGAATTCGAGCATAGTCATGTTTAGTTCGATCTGGACTCGAGCATATTCATAACTTATAAATTATAGAAATAAACTATATACTACCTCCGACTTTTATTAAGACTAATTTGACTTTTCAAGTCAAAGAAGTTAAACTCTGAATGACTATATATTTATACAATAAAATTGATAATATGAAAATGAAACGGAAATGTTCTTTGTTAAAAAGTTTATCATAAAAGTATAAATTTAGTAAGTTTCACATTAATACATGAGTTAAAATGATGGATCAAAGTTTACCATCTTTGAGTAAAGAGTCAAAGATGGCTAAATAAAATGAGACAGAGGTAGCATATCTAACATTTAAACGTTTTAGTGTGATTTATAATTTTATTATTGATTATTAAAGATTTTAGTATTTATTGATATGAATTAAAATACTTCTATAAAAGTATAAAACTAATAAGTAAAAATAGTCGATGTACATAAAACTAATAAGTATTCCCAATTTTAAAATTGACTTGAGATTTTGAATCCATTCATACATGCCTAAACAGTAAATACATCGTTCTCTATTCTTTAATTGCATTATAAATAAATCATTTTCTAATCTTTTTTTTGTGGAAGATCATTTTCTAATCTTTAATTCTATCTTTAATCATTATAAATTTATAATAATAAATAAAAACAATTTTACTATCTACTGAAAAAATTCAATTAATAATCAAATAGAATTACAAAGTTGGTAGGTTTGGGTTGGACTAGACATTAGTTTTGAGGTGGGCTGAAAATTAAACCTATACCTATAATAATAAAAATAAATTGGGCTGGGCTGGGCTGGAGCCCACCCCTGCCCCAACTTAGATCCGTCCATGATACATACATACATACATACATACATACATACATACATACATACATACATACATACATACATACATACATACATACATACATACATACATACATACATACATACATACATACATACATACATACATACATACATACATACATACATACATACATACATACATACATACATACATACATACATACATACATACATACATACATACATACATACATACATACATACATACATACATACATACATACATACATACATACATACATACATACATACATACATACACACATACATACAAACACACACACATATAAATAGGCCGACCTGTTAAGGTAAAAAGGCTTTGGAGTTGGGTTAGGCCTGACCTATTTAGATAAACGAGCTTTTTGAAAAGCCTAAACCTAGCTTGATTATTAAACAGGCCACCAGGTCAATCCAGGCCACAGGCCCCTGACAGGGCTGACCTATTTCCACCCCTACGTTTCCACATAAACTCCGGAGCTATCTAGTTGTGCATATGTTTCGATTTCCATCGAATCTCATTCTTGAGTTTTTGCCTTGTAATCACCTCCCAGACAGCCATCGCCCATCGCCTCAGCCAATTTTTGTTCCTAGCCACATGAGCCCCCCTCCCCCCCTCGTGCTGTTGTTAAGAAAATTTCACTCCCTTCTAGCTACACCACGGCCAGCCCGCACCAACCCCACTTCAAATCCAGGCTGCATCTACATTAACTTTGATTAAGGATGGCAATGGGGGCGGGGGCCCGTGGGGAACCGCCCCGTGGGGGGGAGTTGGGGCGGGTGGTGGGGTGGGGCGGGTGGTGGGGTGGGGGAGATATTTTCTCCCCGCAAAAATATGGGGCGGGTGATGGGTTATGCACCCCCGCACCGTCCCCGCCCCGTCCCCCGTAATAATTAATAATAATAATCTCAATAATAATACTAATAATAATAATACTAATACGAAGTAATTAAAATAGCATGGTGGTCCGGTGGGTTTAGTGGTTTCCTATCTAATGGATTGTGCGTAATGGATCTATCTAATTCTTGTTTAATAACTAAGCTATCTTGTAAAATTGCTTATCAAAATCATAAAGTAAAATGAATTTTTTAGAGATAAAATAAAATGAATTTGGGAAAGTTATAAAGTGATATTAGCTTAAACGCCTCAGGCACGGTGTGAAAGTTTTTTTCCTTTACTATTATAATGCATTAATTCTTTTCTTTTGAATGTCATCTTTATGATTGTAGTTAGGGCTCTTAAAATTTGGTGATCATATGTCATCCTAGATGCCGTCAAATGACCATGATTGATTGAATGCAGAGTTTAAGAAAATATTATAGAGCTAATCAATGCTAATTTAGAGTTTGATAAAAATTACTAATTTAGAACGCGTATAATGTGTTCTAGATTTGAAATGAGATGTAAGATTACATTGACACTTAAAAAGTAAAAAAAAAATTGGCTACTAGAAGTGTTGTTAAATTTTTGAAAAATTGCCAGAGTCTAAAATGATGTTAATTTTTGACGAGTACTTCCCCGTTGGGTACCCGTGGGTCTAGCGGGTCGGGGCGGGGATGGGGCGGGTCGAATAGTAGTGGGGGATGGGGCGGGGGGTGGGGGCGATTTTTTTAGACACGGGGCGGGGGATTGGGGAGTGAACCCCCGCCCCAACCCCGCCCCATTGCCATCCCTAACTTTGATGCATTCACTTGGCGGTCATTGCTATTTTCTCTTGATTTTAAGCCTCAGCGGCCTCTTTCTTCTCGCTAGACATCTGGGCAACACACCAACATTTCAACAAAGCTGTTCCACGATTCACAACGGCTGATTACCATCACAGTACACCACTGCATTTCGGCCTTTCCAAAAGCTCCACAACATAGGGCTGAACAAGAATAACCTGAACCCGCATAACCCGCCCGAACTAACCCTACCCGTCCATCTTTAATCATATATGTAATTATAAAATATTCATGGGTTAAATATGTATGTACCCACACCTAATGAGTATGGTTGCAGATTTAAAATGTCAAACCCGATAGTAACCGATCCGACCAAAAGTTCATTTGGCTATTATTATGCTACAATAGTACAATGCTTTGTTGGATAATTTCTATTTAAGATTGATATGCTCTATATAAGAATTTATGATATAGGAATTATCCTTATAAAATTTACCATTTTAATGGACTTTACGTAAGGATGTTTTGACACTATTACCCAAGCTTTATCCTTGCAAAAGGTACTTGTACTTTTTTGCGTACTTCGGAAATTAGTTAATCAAGTTTAAAATCAGTTGTTGTAGTAGTCCCCATAACAGATCCATTCCGAAGTGATTTCCCCCCAATACCCGACCCTACCTGACCCATTCATGTATGGCTTACCAAATTACATTGCATACCGCGCGTGGGTTGGTTTGATAAATTAGCTAATTAGGTCCAAGAATTATTAGCAAGGCCGACCCAACCCTCTACCACAACATGGTGATAAAGTTGCTACATCGTTCTTCTACTTGCAAATTAAAAAGAAATAAAGAAATATAGTAACTAGCAAAGTTGATCATCTTGTGTTCAAACGTTTTCTATTTTGTTAAATCACTTAGAACCTCTGATTTTCTCTTTAGCTTTCACCTTATATGAGTGTTGGAGTTTGAAGTGAGTATGAAAATGACAAGCAGCTCTCTCTCACTGTGTATGCATAAGGTTTAGTTTGATGGATTTAACTCAAGAGAATTCTGTTATTTAGCATATTTTGGACACATAATTAATCTCTAACATGTATACTTTATAGTTATACGGTTATATTTATTATTCCCATTTAGGGAATTACCTCAAACAATTTCTATGAATTATCGTGTAAATGAAAAGTAAAAATCAAGTATAATAAATATAACCGTATAACTATAAAGTATACATGTTAGAGATTAATTATGTGTCCAAAATATGCTAAATAACAGAATTCTCTTGAGTTAAATCCATCAAACTAAACCTTGTATGCATACAGAGGTAATTCCCTAAATGGGACTAAATCAATGTTGAAATGCACTTATAAGACTCTCATATTTTATAGGACCAAAAATGAACTGATAAGACAAAATTGCCCTTAATGAAATTACAACTCAAATAAAAAAATACAACACTCCCCCCAGCTGCCCTCTTCGTCGATCGATGTCTATCGCTCCAACTCAAAACAGCAGATGCCTATAGCGTAAACTCCAAGCGGCATATGCCTTCAGCACCTTCCGTGCATGGCCGCCGCTGTCGAGCCCGCCGCCACAACCAAGTGAGAACGCCGCCACTACCGCCATCGAGATTGCCACTGCACTCTTCTGGTGAGGTGACTTGCCCCGTCCTACGGTGAGATGGTGCTGCCACCGGTAAATTTCTCTGTGGAGATGCTGACATATACCTCCTATGGAGTGTATGACATCAATTTCAGGGAAAATAGCAATTGTGATAACATTAACGACAAAAAAGTGGCATTTCTATATGCCAAAACATGGAATTTTCAGATTGTAAATTATGACACTTTTACATTCTAGAGTCCAAAATGTGAAATAAGAGAAGAAAACTGAAGTAGTGTTGCTGATGAATTCAATTCAATCCCATAAAAATGCCATAATTTGTGAAATTGTCAAAAAAGTGGCATTTTCGAAGTTGTAATATGTCCATCTCCATAAAAAATTGCCATAAATGTGTCAATTTTTACAAGTTGATAAAGATAAACAATAACAAA